CAGGGCACATGCCTGGATTTTGGGCTTGATCCCCAGTAGGGAGCATGCAGGAGGCAGCCGATCAGTGATTCTCTCTCATCATTGATGTTTCTATCTCTCTCTACCTCTCCCTTCCTCTGAAATCAATAAAAAAAAAAGTTTTAAAAAAATTCAACTAAATTTGTTAAATTTAAGCTCTTAAGGTGACAATTTAAACTAAAAAATGTACATCCTGAATAAAGGAAGAATAAAAGAGGACAACATAGTGAACAGAATAGGAAAAGACTGAAATTTTTTTAAAAGAACAAATGCTAAAAAAAAAAAAAAAAAAGAAGTACTAGGGAGAACTTCAGTGCTTTTTCTGAGAAGAGAAATGCCAGAAGAGGATGCCTTCTATATGCCAGCTGCTTTATACACATTATCTTGTTGGATTCTCACAACCAGCCCTATTTTATAGGAGCGCAAACTATTTAAAACAGGGAAATAACTTGCCAAAGTGGGAAAGCAAAAGAGAACAAAATGCCATGTCTGACTGGCTGCAAAGATGATGCTGGGAGGGAACACTCTGAAGGAACAATGGGTTTGAAGTCTCCAATCAGGCAGCTGTCAGAAAAGGCTCATGCGCTTGAGATGGGTGCCCTGAGAGGGAGTGATCTCCAGCAGGCTTTCCCACCTGAACGCCTCCTCCCCTCCTCCGCCTCCGAAACAAACGCTGAGGATTCCACTCTATTGAGTGTTTGCAGTTGTTGGGACTTTCCATACAGCTGGCTCTTTTACAAAACAAAGCCTGGCCTGAGACATGGTTACCAAGTGAGACAGCTGTGGGGTGGAACTTGCATGTAGCCTCATCTGAGGTCAGTATTGAGCAAACGAGATCAGGCACATCTTGTAAAAAGCCTTGGTGATATTTACCAAAGGATGTGGCTGCCAATGCGAACAGCACAGCCTCAGTGGTGGGTAGCTTACAATGCCTGGAGGCGGGACATTCCCCAATGGTGCTGTCCGGGCATTGGTAAGGAAGGACTTTATCTGGCACAATTACAAAAACAATTCAGGTGCAGAGTTTGAAACAGAGCTGGCCTGAAAGGTTTGGAAGCACAAAGCAGTTTTTTAACCCCTCTCCAAAATATGATGGCATTCTGTGAGGTACCCCCTCCCTCTTTGGCAGGGGAGCACACTGAGAGCAGGGAGACAGGAGTGAGTTATGCCAGAGTATTTACTGCACCCCAAGGCGGGCAAAAATTGGGACCTGAAAGTCCTTCCCAGGTGAGGGGTTTGCACTTTGGTGCCCTTGTTTACAACACCCAAGGGGTCTTGTACCATCGTTTCCTTTTTCATTCATTGATCACAAATAGATATAAATAGATATAGGTATAGATAGAGATAGAGATAGAGATAGATAGAGATAGAGATAGAGATAGAGATAGAGATAGACTAGTAGAAATAGATAGAGATATAAATATAGATATAGATATAGATGATATAGAGATAGAGATAGAGATAGAGATAGAGATAGAGATAGAGATAGAGATAGAGATATACTAGTAGAAATAGATAGAGATATAAATATAGATATAGATATAGATATAGATGATATAGAGATAGAGATAGAGATAGAGATAGAGATAGAGATAGAGATAGAGATAGAGATAGAGATATACTAGAGGCCAAGGGCATGACATTCATGCACTGAGGGGGGGTGGTCCCTCAGCCCAGCCTGTGCCCTCTCGCAGTCTGGGACCCCTTGGGGGATGTCCGCCTGCTGGCTTAGGCCCACTCCCTGCAGGTGAACATCCCCCGAGGGGTCTTTAGTGGTGAAGCTGAGGCGGGAGAGGCTACCGCCTCCGCTGCTGCGCTCACCAACTGTGAGCCCAGCTTCTGGCTGAGTGGCACTCCCCCTGTGGGAGTGCACTGACCACCAGGGGGCAGCTCCTGCATTGAGTGTCTGCCCCCTGGTGGTCAATGCATGTCATAGCGACCGGTCATTCCCCCGTTCGGTCGATTTGCATGTTAGGGTTTTATTATATAGGATAGATGTATAGATATATAGATATATATGTATGAGATATCAAAGGCACTTTACCAAATACTAAAAATTTCAAAGAAGCAACAATCTTAGTCCTTGATGGCTGATATGTGCAGCAATCCTCCACTGTGAGCCTGGGAAACACTACATCTAAATTCTCCATGGTAGATTGGGAAAATAGAACTGATTTTATACACATAGATTCATTGCTATGTGAGCACATAGGAAAAGAATGATTTTGGTCTGGAGGAGTCAAAGTATGCCTCAGAGGGGAGGTGAAGTATGAGTAGATGTTCATGGGAAGAAGAAAAGTAGATTCCAAGTGATAGGAACAGTCTACGCATGGCTTTGAAAATAAGAAAGGGCAGACATGTTTGAAAAATAGCTAATAATCCTATATGCTGGATTGTGGGGTTAAGATTAGAAAAGTGACTAAGAGTCACATCATGCGAAATTTTGTGTGCTAACATAAGGTTAGAATTAATGCTGCAGATGAACAGATTTTAAAAAGAGGAGTGATATGATTATATTTTAGCTTTAGAAAATAATTGAATCAAATTATACATGGAAAAATTTTTAGAAAGCATTTATGTAAAATTTCTCTACAACTTACTGGAAATGACAGTGAGGAAATTAATAAAGGTGTAAACTCCAATGATAAAAAGTATGGGAGAGGAGACATTAGACAAGAACTATCAGCTATATTTTGGAAGATGGGAAGCTGAGAGAAGAGGAATAGCTGAATGAGCAGAACAGAGAAAGCTAATAAAACCTAAAAGCCTAATAAAACCTAAAAAGAGGAAACCAAGAAGAAGCAAGATTAGTTCTTCTTACTTTCCAAAGGTCAGGAATTTATGGTCCCTGGTGCTTATGAAGATGAAGGAATGAGTGGAGCAAGAAGACAAAGAATTAGTCAAAAGTCTGCATAAGTTATGGACCCTCCCCTTTGCCCCACAGCCAGGTGAGTATCTCTCCCCTGTCCTTGGAGAAAACAAGATGTTCGCTCTCTGGAGATGCTGAACCAGCAGGGTTCTGGACTCAGTGACACCAGGGAGCTAAACAGAAATGGGATTCAATGACAGCCACATTCTGAAGGGTGAGAGTTAGCTTCCTTAGCTCCATGAATGTACTCCAACCTTATACTCCCCATGGAGGAGACTGGCAAGTTCTTCTTTGAAGAAAGTGACCTGCCCCAATAGAAAACAAAAACAAAAAACTACCAATACTGACAATACAATTAGGTACAGTCCCTACCAATACATGGAAGTCACCCAATGAATGCCTGGGTCCCACCTCATCACTCAACAGAGAACCTCACTAGATGGTAAGTCCTTCCCAAGTACAAAGGGCTTCCAGTCAACTTTTTAGTCCTGGACACCTAGATGTAAACAGGCAGCCAAATATCTCCAGGTGTATAAGAAAATCCTCTAATACAAAAGATTTAAAAATCAAAAGCAACTACAAATAAAAGTGGGGGTGGGGAGAGAATAAACCATGGAGGAAAGAGAAGCAATGCAAGAAAAGAAAACTTCAAAGAAACTTTTATTAATTAACAGTTATTGCATGCATTAAACAACAGGATGCAATAAAAAGAGAATAGTAAGTAAACAAGAAAGATATGCAAATTACAAATATATAAGTAGAAACAATTTTTTAAATTAATATAAAATAATTGAGAGGTAAAATTGAGAAAATCTTCCAGAAAGTAGTACAAAAATACAATAATAAAAAATAAAAACGTAAAATATCCACACCAAGGCATATCATTGTGAAATGTCCAAATATGAGGGATAGAGAAAAACCTAAATACTTCCAAAGAGAAAAACATAAAGAATCACAGTGGTGGTGGATTTCTTAAAAGTAGTACCGGAAACTAAAAGACAATGGGGAAATGACTCCAAAGAAAGTAATTATTTTCTACCTAGAGTTTAGCACCTGGACAAACTTTCATTCTATATGACATTAGAACAGAGGTATTGCCAGGTATGTGAAATGTGGCAGGCACTACTCACACCAATATTTGTTTCCCTTTTCCTTCCTGGAACCCAGAAGTTTGCACTTCCCAGTTAGGCGAGGCCACGTGTTCTGATCAAGTGGCTGTGAGCAGATGTGTGCCACATCCTGGCCAAAGCATTAAAGAGAGAGATGTGAGTGCCATGCTTTCTGAAGAGGCCTCATGTTGAGATGGTAGAGCCAGAGGATGGAAGCAGTTTGGATCACTGGAAGGCCAGAGGAGAGACAGCTGCCCTGCAGGATTACCTGACCTCCAGCAGACTTGTCTGAGTCAGAAGAGACTTGATAAATGACACCATAAGTTGTGATGCTTATTTGTAGCATAGTCTGGCCTAACCAATACATAACCTACCAAAAATAATTCTAACTGCATCATTTCTCAAAAAGTTAGTGGCTACCCTGTGACCCAGCAATTCCACTCCTAGGTATACACCCAAAAGAAATGAGCACATGTGTTCAACAAAAGATGGGTACAAGACTATTTGTAGCAGCTGTAATCTATACTAATAAAAGGGTAATATGCTAATTAGACCAGGAGACCTCCCAGGAGACCTTCCGGATATCCTTCCAAACAAAGCCATGGTAGCGGGGCAGAGGCAGAGGCAGTTAGGGGTGATCAGGCCAGGAGAGGAGGGCAGTTGGGGGCGAGCAGGCTGGCAGGGGGGGCAGTTGGGAGCAAGCAGGCCAGCAGGCAGAGTAGTTAGGGGCAATCAGGCAGGCAGGCAGGTGAGTGGTTAGGAGCCAGTGGTCCCAGATTGGAAAGGGTGCAGGCCGAGCTGAGGGACAACCCCCTCCCCCCCGCACAAATTTCATGCACCAGGCCACTAGTTATACCATAATATCCAAACACTTTACATTTATACTATATACCATAGTAAAAAGCAAACAAAAGATAAATTACTGGTACCTGCAACAACATGGATGACTCTCTAAACTTAATGAAGAGTAAAAGAAAGCCAGATATAAGACTATATACCTTATGATTCTTTTATATGAAGTTCAAGAACAGGCAAACTATTGATGGTCATAGAAGTCAGACTAGTGATGGCCTTGTTGGGGGTGGTGGCGTAGGGTATTATTGGGAAGTGACAGGAGAAATCCCCACAGAGTGCTGGAGATAGTCAATCTCTTGATCTGGATGGTAGTTACAAGAATAATTACAAAATAGTTATTGGACTGGACACTTAAGTTTATTACACTTTACTATGTTTGTTGTACCTCATCTAAAATAATTTTCTTAAAGAAAATAGAAGAGACTGGATCCACCAAAATGAGGGCATAAAGCCAAAAGCAGGAATGCATGGGATCCAGGTGACAGGCAATCCCCCGAGGTCAGAGATAAAGGGGATTCCTAAGATTCCCAGGATGGCAGCTGTACAGCAGGCTGGGTTGCAGTCAGTCATGGTGGGAGGCAGAGGCAGAGACCAGAGAGAGAAGCATCTAGAAAAAAGGGAAAGGAAAAAGAAACTGATAGATTATCTCAGTGTTCAACTCTATTGAAGAGAACATCAGTATTCCATAGAAGAATTTGGGAAGGAATTAATGATAAACACATGATAAATTAGTGATAAACACCCTACCCATGCACAAATTTCATGCACTGGGCCTCTAGTTTAAAATAAAATAACTCATTCCAAAACACATTTTGATTCTCAGCTCCATCACAGCTAATAGCACAATGATATTGTACCAGGGTTTAGAATATTTTAGATGTAGTCACTTTTTGTCATGATTTTACATCCTGATTGTGCAATTTAAATGTGCCTTTAAAAAATTTGGTTCCATTAAAAGGAGCATGGTCCCATTAAAACGAGGCACCCTGAACCTAGAAGAGGCGAGCCCTGCAATTTCTGCAGGCTTAGTAGAGCCCTAATGTGGAAAAAAATAGGTACTGTTTTTGTTAAGATGCAAAAATTGTAGGGAATCAAAAACCTCAACTCAGTGTGGCTTAAAGAATAAAAAAGAGAATGTATTTCTTTCCTCTAAAGTGCTTAGAGGTAGAGAGATTCCAGACAAGGCTGCATCAAAGAGGTCACCAAGTATCCAAGCCCTTCTGTTGCTTTCTGCTTCACACACCCGTGTTGGCTCCATCCTGCAGCTGGCACCTCTCTTCATTTTAAGATGCTGGTACTGTCTGTTGGGGCTAATCTTTCCTCATTCAAGTCCATTGGGAAAGAGTGGGCATCTGTGACTGATGGTGCCCAGCAAAAGTCCCAGATTTTTCCCATTGGACAGGCTTAAGTCACATGCCTACTATTGAATCAATCATTGGCCAGAGAGGAATGCACTAGAACCCCTAGTGGACACAACCTTCCTAGATCCACACTGATGCCTAAATGGGAAGTAAGAGCTGTTGGGAGAGGAGGCAGGGAGACAGATGGAGAAACAATTATAAATGTCTCCAAAGGTACTTAAAAGGGGAAGAAGCTCTGAATATGTTGGTATTTGCAAATGCACCATCTTAAGATTGTCATGCTATTGCTACCTCAAAATTCTCATTTTTAAAATTCCTGTCGAAACTTGAAAAAGTCAAAAAGAGCGGTATTTTTGGAAGTGCAAATAGGGCCTTTGCCATGATAAGCTCTATGTAGGAAATAGCGTGTCTCTCCTAATGGAATGAAGACTAGGATAATGTAATGCTTTGGTGAAACAAAGGCTTTTTGTTTTTTATTTGATCTAAAGATAGGCAACCCCTAAGAAAGTTCCTAAATCCAGTTAAGTCTGGGGGTACATCATAACGTATCACGCTGTAAGCATGGTGATGGTAGAATCAAAAGAATTTGTTTAAAAGGTCAAAAGATGTAGGATTCCCCTGAGAGTCATAGTTTAAGTCATTTAGATTAAAAAGGGGAAAATAGAGGAGGAAAAATGGCGGCGGTATAAACGGACGTGTCCTGTGCCTTGTCCTGGAGCAGATAAGGGTGAGCAGCTGAAACGGGTAACATGCAGCCCGAATAGGCAGAGGATTTTCAGCTGAGAGACTGTCTGCAGCTAGGAAAGACCGAGAACCCCCAGGAAAAAAAGGACGGTTGGAGACTGCGGCTGAAGCCTCTCGTGGTGTGCCAGCTAAGCAGCGGAGACTGCGCCATCTTGGGTGGTTGTTGCCGGCATCCAGAGACCAGCTACTAACCTGGAAACAAGGGATCTCAAGCAGCGTCACTGCCTGAACTCAGACGAGCACTGCTTCTTCTCACGGAAAGGTTGGACACCCCACCCCCTAAAGGTGCGGTTTGCAGTTCGGGTTGGAGGGAGGACCGAGCTCGCGCGCGCGCGCGCGCGCGCGCGCGCGCGGGACGGAATCTGCGCCCCACAGAGTCTGCAGCAGTTGGGACCAGCGTGACCCGCGAGTGGGGAAGGGGCCCCACAGGGCTGCTGGCAGAAGGGAACGCGTAAAATGAGCCCATAGCTAGACTGGATGTAAGGGAGCAGCCTTGGACTTTGCCAATCTGCTGGCTGCTTGGTGCCAGGGGCGAGTGAGCGCGCGGAGACTGCGCGCGGAGACTGTGCGCAGACCTGGAAGGTGGAGGCTTGCGAATTCGCACAACTATCAGGCTCTTGTTACAGTTCCCCTTAGATCCGTGCATTTGATTATTAAACCCAGTGCATGGGATTCCCCAGTTGGGGTCATTCACAGAGCCTGTAGGGGAAAGTTCTTTTTGGGGAGCCTGGGAAACAGCGGGCAGTGGCAAGGAACCAGCTCTGGGCAGTGGTCTTTCCTGAATCAGTTCCCAATACCATAGAGGAAAAAAAAAAAAAAAAAAAAAAAAAAAAACCCTACTGATAGAGAGGACTTATAGCCTCGGAGGTCAATCCAGACACACTGCCACCCAGAGGCAGAGCCACAAACTGTCTCTTCTGCGATCACAAATAAAGGCAGTCTGGTAAACAAATACAAGCTGCCTTAAAATCAGGTCTGTGGTTTACTGCACGGAGGGACAGTGTATCGCAGGGAAGTTCAACACTTCCCTGAATGCCTGGCAGGACTGAGGCATGCCAAAAAGAAGAGTGGAAGATCTGAAGCACCTTCACTTCCGAATATTTTTATATATATATATTTTTTTTTTTTTAAATTCTTTTTCCACCATTTCATTAAGAACCTATTTTATTATTTTTTTCATCACTTGATTTTACCTTTTTAATTACTACATTGTTTTAACCAGTATTATTGCTATCCTTTTACCATTTTTTCAAGTGTCATTTTATTTTTTATTATTTTTTTAATTTTTCTTTATTTTATTTTGGGATTAGTGTTATACACACTATTTTCATCGTTCCTTTAGCATCATTTCTCTCTAGCTCACATTTACCCTTAAGCCAAAACTCTCTTCCTCACTTTTCCCCTTTTGTTGTCCTGTTTCTCTTACCCTATTCCTGCTTTGGATTTTACCTATTCCTTCTTTCTAACCACTGTCTAAATTTCACCCTACTTATATATCTAATTTCCAATCCCTCGCTCTCCCCATACAAATAGCCTCTTCCCCACCTCTATTTCATTCTCTTACTTTTTTTTTTTTTTGTATTTTTGTTTTTTTTCTTCTCTCCCTTTTCCCAATCTCATTTCGGCACTCCTTTTTGTTTTTTATTTTTCTCTTTAATCTTTTTCTCTTTTTTCTTCTATATCCCCTAATTCTCTTCGCTCGGGGGGTCACCTTTATTTGGGGTTATTAATATCGTGAATGCATTTAGTTTGTTGCCTTGTACGTTGTGCCTTGTTGTGTTGTATTTTGTGCCTTTGAATCAGCGCAGCAGAGAGAGAACTACATAACCAAACACCTTGAGAAGAGAAATCATGGTGAAACAAAGAACCAACCCAAATATGAGAGAAAAACAGGCATCATCAGAAAAGGAAGTAAACGAAATGGAGGCAATGGAGGCAAGCAACCTGTCAGAGAAAGAATTCAGAGTAATGGCCATAAGGTGGATGAAAAGAATGGAAGACCAATTCAACAATATGTGTAGGAACCAAGAGGAAATGAAGAAGAACCAAGAGGAAATGAAGAGAAACCAAGAAGAAATGAAAAACGACATCACTGCCATAAAGAACTCAATAGAAAGCATCAACAGTAGACTAGAAGAAGCAGAGGACCGCATCAGCGAGCTAGAAGACAAGGTAGAAAAAAATACCCAAACAGAACAGCTTCTAGAAAAAAAAATTAAAAAGCAGGAGGAGAGCCTAAGAGAACTCTGGGACAATGCTAAACGAAACAACATCCGAATAATAGGGGTGCCAGAAGGAGAGGAAACTGAGCAAGGAATAGAAAACCTGTTTGAAAAAATAGTAACAGAAAATTTCCCTGATATAGGGAGGAAAAAACTCACACAAATCCAAGAAGCTCACAGAGTCCCAAACAAAATGAACCCGAAAAGACCGACACCAAGGCACATAATAATTAAATTGGCAAACACCAACGACAAAGCAAGAATCTTAAAAGCAGCCAGAGAGAGACAGAAAGTTACCTACAAAGGATCCCCCATCAGACTAGCGACCGATTTCTCAACAGAAACACATCAGGCAAGAAGGGAATGGAATGAAATATACAAAGTCATGCAAAGGAAGGGTCTGAATCCAAGAATACTATACCCAGCGAGGCTATCAATCAAAATTGAGGGTCAAATCAGGAGCTTCACAGACAAAAACGGTCTACGGGAGTTTATTACAACCAAACCAGCAATGCAAGAAATGCTACAGGGTCTGCTGTAAATAGAAAAAACAGGAAACAAAGAAGGAACGCAGCGGTAAAGAACAAAAATGGCGACTAACAAGTTTCTATCAATAATAACTTTAAATGTAAATGGATTAAATTCCCCAGTCAAAAGGCATAGGGTAAATGAGTGGATAAGAAAACATGACCCATATATCTGCTGTCTACAGGAAACCCACCTCACAAAAAAAGACGCACACAGACTGATGGTGAAGGGATGGAAAAAGGTTTTTCAGGCCAATGGAAGTGAAAAAAAAGCCGGGGTAGCAATACTTATATCTGACAAATTAGATCTCAAAGTGAAGGACATAAAAAGAGATCAAGAAGGCCACTTCATAATACTAAAGGGAGCAGTCCAACAAGAAGAAATAACTCTGGTAAATATATATGCACCCAATATAGGAGCACCCAAATACGTAAGAAATCTTCTGG